GGAACGACGTTTCAGCACACATCGGTGACGACATAGAGGTGATGTATTGGAACGAAGAAGAGCTTTGTGATTTGAGGCTATTAAAAAATGGACGGTCGCAAATTTTTCTCGAAAGAGAAGATATTGAAAAAATTATGTCAAAAAGGCACAGTCTTTTTAAAGCTATGAATTTATACCGAGATGTAAATATACATAACCGAGATGTAAATATATATAATCAATAAATAATTTTATTAGTAACACGTATTTGGTTTATGTCATTTTTCATTTAATTCCTAAACATATACTGGTCTATAATTTGTTTCTGTCTGACCGCAAAACAACATACACCACCAACTTACTTTAAGTCAAAAAAGGGACCTGGCTAACTCAACTTGCCATTTGTTAGCGATATTTCATAAAAATGTTACATCATAAATTTTATCGGTGCACATTTATTTAATTTAATTATATTTTACGCGACCTCGACGGCCTTTTATTATATTTATGCGGAAACAGAACAATGCAATTTCGCACAAAGTAGCTAACCTCGGGGTCACACTTGATGAATTTAAACAAAATTTCATCACATTAGCAAATATGGAATATATATGCTTTATTTACGTATAATGTTTTTATCGTTATCAGATACATTGTAAGTTAATAAAAATGTGTTTATTGAATTCGCGCATTTTAAACATGTCGGATGTCAATACTACCTCGACGACCTTTTATTAGTTGAATTCTCTTATCGTCGCCGCCGAAATCGTCGTCGGCTAGGCTCGGCTAGGCTCGACTAACGTAGCGCGCGGGGTTCGAGGTTCGAATCCCCCGACCGCGCGCGACACACCGGTCGCTTTTTTCACCTCGCGCAAAAATACGTCAAAACAAAAAGGCACTAACGCAAAAACTACCCCTAGCGGGGCGAAATTGCCAAAAAGGCACTAACGCGAAAACTACCCCCTACCCCCCATTCAGGGTGACATCTGGCGATCGAAACCTGAGCTCTTAATGGGTGGCGACATCTCTCGTAGAATGGTCAAACTAATTTTTTTTTTTCGGTTGCTTGGGAATCTGTAAATTTGCAATCACAAAATCTCCCCCGGGGGACGGGGGATGGTCAAGTCACGAATAATTACTACTAATATACATCGTCTTCATCTTCAACCAGAATAACCTGATTGTCCGCTAAATGTAGTTCTATTCCCATATTACGGTTCATACGTATCGAGCATTTAAGTGTGGAATTTAAGTATATAGCTATAGCGCATTGCTGGAGATGTCCTTTTGTAATTGGAAAAAGTTATGATATTCTGTTACCAATTTTAATATTACTTGACATGTTCCTATAAATTCTTCTAACTGCCTTAATATAATTCCCACTAATACCATACTCTCATAGTGATTTCCAGCCATACTTTTTTCTAAAAGTTGTCTTATATGAGTGGGCAGCGCAGAAAACCGCTTTGTTCGTCGATATCTTTTGCTTCATTTTTTATTCTGTTTTTGATTTTTTCCTCATCCGCTCTTGGAAGATAGTTTGAAGGGATATTGTCATTTCTTAAAAACCAAAAAATATAGGCAATTAAACCCATCATTTGTACAGCGCCTTTTTGATCAGTTCTATAGAGAACCCACTTGGTCCTGGTGCTCTTTCATTTACGGTAATAGTGCGATATATAAATTTTGTCATCTCTGTTCTTTTTTGTAAGCTCTTTTTTTTTCATTTGTCCGTTCTCATTTCACTATTCATTTTTGTTGTGCTTTTCCACTGTTGTTCTTTCCCCAGTTGCTTTCCTCGCTGCTTCCTCGACGGATTTTACGATGTCATGCTAAATATATAATCACTCCTTCAGAATACATAACGTCACTTAATCTAAGGCGATAGATTGTTGGCTTGTTGTTGACTTATTGTTTATGCTGACCGTGTTATATTTTGTGCTTTTAATTTGTTCAATTATTCCATCATCATTAGTGGAGATGGAGTGTTCCAGGGGCACAATATCTTTGATCTCATTAAATGGTGATATGTACGATATTCTGCTCCTCTGTGTAATTGTATTTTAGTCTGGTATTTTGTCTTCCAATTGTAAGATAATTTTTTGATTTTCTTTGCAGAATGCTTTATTCCCATGTGTAATATTTTTGTGACTAAAATAGCCGTTTTTAATTTGTAGGTAGTGTTCGAGGCATAGGTCTGTCAATCTGTCTCCGTAATCATTGATGTCAGGGTCACCCTGAGTTGCTACGATCACGTCTTTTCTTTTTGTTTCTATGTGCATTGAAGTCTCTAACAGTATTATTTATTATGTGTTACCTATGTTGTCAAGGATTTCGTGTAATGCATTATCGTGGCCACCTTGCATTGCGACCATCTAGTTATTCGATGTAGATCTATGTAGTCTTCTAGTTGCTCAATGCCATTTGGCCCTACGTCTAAACACTCTAACCTGGAGGACCAGGTAATGTTTAGTGAAGTTTATCTTTCTCTAGTCTGTTTGGCATTCTCATGTTCCGAGATCAATCCTGCGTTATCCTATCAGTACTTCGGCTTTTCCGACCATTGGGATCGATCTTCATCTGCTCCATAAGCCATTCAATGATCTTTAATTGTACCCAAGGTGGTGGTCCTTACGGGGTGCTATCATCCTGGCAAGATAAACCCTGATTTTTCTTATGAGGTTGTTACTCCTCCCTTTCATCATTCTCAATCTGACTTAGGGCAGGTCTAGGCGGATTTCTCATTCCTCATCTTGGCATTTTCTGGTGTATCATTACAAAAGGCTCTTTACCTTATGTGGTCGCCAGGCCTTCGTCCTTGGCAAGTTCGAAATGTGTTGTCCTCCTCGTCGTCGTCTGTCTTTAAAGGATTAGTCACTATTTGACGGTTCCGGCTTTACCATCTCAGCCTCGCTCTGCCGATGTTTCTTCTTCCCAAACAACACAAAAACACTAAGGGAATAACATTTTCAAACTGAAAAACTCACCTCGGAAAAACTGGAAGTCAAATGCAAAATTTCCGACCAGGGCAAAAAGCATATGGAGGACGTGGTGAATTTTATATACATTGTTCTTAAGTGCAGTCTTCAGGCACTGAAAGTATAATATAATTATAAGAGTGAAATTGTTGAAATTATTTCCATAAATAATATTAATGTTGTTTTCAAGGTTGACACAGGGGCACAATGCAACTCAGAGTTCTTCAGAAAGTTGCATCCAAAGTAACAATCACGTTAGTTATTGCCAACTTAACTGTTTTGGATGAGCAACGATCCTGTAATTTGCAAAAAATCCATGGTTGTTTTAAAAGATTCATACTATTTACAAAACTCCTGGATTGTTGAATCGAACTTGCTGACGTTTCGCCAATCATCATGTTGGTTTCTTCAGAGCTTAACTAAAACTGGTTGGCATTTTACTCTGTACCTGCTTATGTATTTTTTGAGGGGCGGAGCATAAACATTGTCTAGGGTGATTAATTCTTGCTTATAGATTTCCATAATTCTCGCATTTGTCTTTCGTAGAAGAATTGATTACATGCAAGAATTTTTGTTTTATCGAATAAAATTTTATGTCCGGTTTCGCGACGTGTTCTTCAACTGCTGATGAGTATTTTTGTCGAAGTGTTAAGGCTCTTTCATATTCTTTGAGCCTAATTGATATTTTTCGACCGGTCTCTCCAATGTTTTCTTTGCCGCATATGCATGGAATGCTGTATAACGACAGATCGAACATATTGTGACATTTTTATGCAGTTGGTAAATTTGGTTTTGACGTTATATTTCTTAAAAACTTTTAATATGTGGTCAGTGATGTTTTGGTAAGTTGTGGTGAAGTGTATTTTGTTATGGAACGCTTAATATCTCTAATGTGGAAATTATTAGAGGGAAAAGCAGATGTATGTTTTTTTAATTCTGGGTTCAGTGACTCGGGTTGAGATTTTTACGGCTCTGTAAACAAGAGTTAATAACCGATGATTTTGTGTGCGCAGATTTTCTGTAAACAGAATGCTAGGTCTGATGTTCTATTGATAAGAATATTATATGGGAGATTATTATCAGTTTATAATTCATTTGCAACACGTATGTTAGGGTGTATCGAGTTTAAATGGCTAAAAAAATGTCGTAGGGATTCTTGACCATGACGCCAAATAACAAAAGTATCATCCGCGTAGAATTTCCATATATACTTTTTTTAAATGAAATGTGTCGAGGGCTTTTTCCTCAACGGTTTCCATAAATATATTCGCGATGACTGGTGATAATGGAGAACCCATAGCTTTGGTGCGACGTTTCTTCAAAAATTTGACCGTTATAAGAAAAATATATTGATGGGCTCTCGGACCTTCGAAAGTGTGTCGTGGGTTCTACGGCAGTAAATAAGGCACAGAATTTGGAAACTACCAAATTTTTACTGAAAGTAACACTATAATTTTTCAAAGAAACAATAATAATCGCGGGACTTTATGCCCCAGGCACGCCGCCCTGTTACACGTCTTCCGCCCGTCTGCCCACTCACGAACATATTTTCTAAGCGGGTATCACAAATATCTCCTGTTGCCGCACACATTTAATCGCGCACCACAATGTTCCAGATAAACATTTTTCAATTAAGATGAGAAGATTTGGTTCAAGATTCTCGGATTTCAATAAATCTGAAATAATGTTAGGAGTTCCAGGAATAGGGACTTTAATACATACGAAACTAACCAGAATAACCTGTGGATCTAATGTAATGGTTTTCAATTGTTTTCACCGTAAAAGGTTTTAATATAGAAGCTAAATATTTTGCTAGACAATAGGTCGAAGAGGTAGTCCTGGTTTATGCATTTTAGGGAGTCTGTAGAGCAGGCTCTGAAGAAGCCAACAGGATGAAACTGAAATAGTATTACAATAGCCTGTGAAAGTTTCTTTGAAAAGTTAAAAGATTCATTTTATCAAATAAAATTAGACGATGATTGTCACGTGATCAAATTGTATCAATCCTATATACCGTGATGGCTTTAGATTTTAATTTGCCGTTGCCGATCCTTTAAGTTATTGAAATCTAAGTGTTCTTCGTCAATTGAGTTTTCGAATTTGTTGCATTTATTCGATTTAACTAAGTAATCCAAAATGGGTAAAGAAAAGACTCCTATTAACCTTGTAGTCATTAGTCACGTAGATTCTGGTAAATCTACAACAACCGGCCATTTGATCTACAAATGCGGAGGTATTGATAAACGCACCATCGAAAAATTCGAAAAAGAAGCCCAGGAAATGGGTAAAGGCTCCTTCAAGTATTCTTGGGTATTGAATAAACTTAAGGCAGAACTTGAATGTGGTATTACCATTGACATTGCCTTATGGAAATTCGAGACCGCAAAGTACTATGTTACCATTATTGATGCCCCAGGACACAGAGATTTCATCAAGAACATGGTTACTAGTACTTCTCAAGCCGATTGCGCGGTACTCATTGTCGCAGCTGGTACTGGTGAATTTGATGCTGGTATCTCCAAGAATGAGCAAACTAGAGAACACGCCTTACATGCGTTTACTCTTGGAGTAAAACAACTTATTGTTGGTGTCAGCAAAATGGACTCCACTGAACCACCGTACAGCGAACCTCGTTTTGAGAAAATTAAAAAGGAAGTTTCTCCTTACATCAAGAAGATTGGTTACAATTCTGCAGCTGTTGCTTTTGTACCAATTTCTGTTTGGCATGGGGATAACATGCTAAAACCATCACGGTATATAGGATTGATACAATTTGATCATGTGACAATGATTCTTCAGAATTAACAAGATTTCCAACTCCTTTGTGCTTCAAGCTTCCTGTTGAAATCAGAAGTTTTTCAAATGAAAAATATCAATATTTTTTCGGGAATAGTTGGAAATAAATTATTTATTGATGCTATGATCATTTCAGGGGCTCATTAAATAACGTCACTTTCAATTAGAATAGAGGGAAGTAAGAATTTTGGAAGTCAATGTCAGATTCTTAAATACTTGATTTGGAATCTCCAAAAAATAAGTATCAATTTATTATTTTCTGCATAATGCATGCATAATAAGTTGCTCAGACGATGCTGCAGAAAAGGTAGAAACTGCATCATCCGCAAAAAGGGGAAAGTAAGTATGGGAGACAGAAGGAAACACATCATTAATATATACTATAAACAATATAGGACCAAGTAAACTTACCTGAATTACGCCACAATTTACCAGTTCGCCAATTTCAGGCGTTATCTCTAATACCATATGAACAAAGCTTGTCCACTAAAATATCAACATCGACCAAGTCAAATGCGCATTGCAGATCGAAAAAAACGCGTGCTGTTTGCTGCCTTTCTTCTAACTTGCCAAGAATATGCTTATATAAAGAGAGAATGGCATCCTGCGTTGATCGCTTTTTTCGAAAACCAAAGTGCATGCCAAATTGCTTTCCAAGAAATTTGGAAGTCTGAATGCAGTGCCATTTCGAAGATTTTTGAGAAAACAGATATGAGTGCTATAGCTCTATAATTTGAAATAATTGTTGCACCATTTTTTCTATAGAGTGAAAAATGATCCATGCAAAAAGGAATAATTAATGAGGTATGTCATCGGTTCTACAATAGTGTCGACCACATGAGGAAGGAATGCTGAATATTTCTCAATCGGTTCAATTCAGTGGTTCTTAAACAATTTTTAAATAAAAATAACATTCCTTTAACTAGGTCCAGCCCATACTGTTTTAGCAAGTTTTAGCAGAAAAAAGTGTAAATAGTTGTAAAAATATGTGAAAGAAGTGTTTTTTCTTGTATATAACGATAGTTATATAACGATGTATATAACGATATTTTAGATAATTTTTATTTTTATTTATTACCTTAAAGAAACACTCCAAATCCTATCCTGTGTTTATCACCATCTGAAATGCACAAAACTTGTGCTTATAAAAAAACCATAAATTAAAACAAAATCAACGTGAAACACAGAGGAATTATTATGATCGAGCAACCAAAAACTTGGCAGATAAGAATGACAAACTTAAGTTTAATATTAAAGGCCACTGGGAAAAGGATATCATTGTTAAAAAATGTAGTTAACCGAGATCTTTTGCAGTTTTTTATTCTAATTTAAAAATCGTTTCAAAGGTACTAGACAAATTGTAAAAGATCCTTCAGTGCAGGAACTTTGTTAGGGGTCCATATTATATAAAAAATGTGATAGCAAATTAACTGTATTTCCAATCCCTATTCTTAAAGATTTTTACTCACTGCATATTCTGTAAGTATTTAATGTAACTATCTTTTTAGATATATTTTTGAATTTTCAACAGTAGAGTGATATTTTACTGTATAATAATGTAAGTGTGGAAATTTTTATTTTACTTTTGTTTCTGAGTAAAATTAAAATCTTCTAAGGAGCGATGTAAAGTGTTGTCATTAGCGCTATCGTAACTTTTTTGCAAGTGTGAAAACTAGTATATTTTTACAAAAAATTAAATATTGGAAAACCTGTTAGGTTTAGGTATGTATTATTATTAATAAAAAGCTGAAGAATTGAAAAAAACGGTTTAATATTAATGAGATAACGAACTTACATCTACTACTACATCGTTGGCTCACCCCGTACATAAATTACGTATAATAGTAATCGAACGCTTTCATCATTTAGGTAAGTTATATTGGTATTTGGTAAGTTGGCAACATTGTATATAGCATATAAGCGAATTGTGTGCGAATGGAATTATCTATTCTCTGTTAAGGTATTAATACACGATAAAAATCTACTTATTTGATAATTAATAATAGATACAATAAACACTAATTAAGTGATTTTTTTTGTAAGAAATGGTCATTCTTAAAATTACTTAATTACAGAATGAAACCAAGTAGGGTAAAATACAGATATTAGTTTGAAATATCTTCATTAGCATTTGCATATTATTTGCAAACTCTACGCTTAATGTTTCTCTAATGCTTAGTATAAGTCAATCTACGCTGTAAATTTCATCTAGCTGGATTTAGTGGACTCTAGCGAGATAAAATCTTTTGCTCATGTATATATGTATATATATTTGCCTTAGCTAGAGTTTACGTAGACCTGCTGAAAGTGTGTCTATTCGATTCCTCTCTATCGAGTGAGTACGCTGCGAGATCGAAATTTTCCTCAGAGAGTGATTTCGAATTATTTGTGCTTGTAAAAATTTCGCGTCGAATGAAATGTCCTATAGCTTCTGTTGCTTTGAATAAGTTTAAAAGCAGCGATGCACTAAATAGATGTGGGCGATAAATTGCATAGAGAAATTGCAAGAAAACGATTTTTTTTCCAAATTATTGTAAGCATTGCAAGATAAAAGTTAACTAACAGCTTCTGGTTTTTAGATTGCTTTTTTGTATTACGCATGGTGTTTTCTAATTGAATATCAATAATTAAGGTTCTGATTTGTTGGGCCATTTTAAAATGGAAACTTCATATGGACATATGTCTTAACTTTTGAGATACAGGGTGGATAAGTTTTCAAAAATAAAATATATTCCTGTAATATTTGTAATACTACTTTAGATATTTTAATGTAATTTGGCACACATGTACTATATATCAAGAGGCATTATTTAGTGTACCACATTTTTTTTAAATACAGTTCTAAATAAATTTAATTTCTTGAGCAGATGTAGGGTTTTCAATTAAAAAAATGAAAACCTCTTCTCTGCATGGTTATAACAATATCGTTAAAATGACAGCATGCATTGAAATTATCAAATCTGCACATAAATGAATGCAATTGTCATTATTTTTTAAAAGGCTGTGAACAAATAATATTTTGGTTAAATAGGTCGCCACTGCACTGGTTAAATATTTATCTGAAAGACTAAATGGAAATGATTATCGCCGATTTTTGGAAGAGAATTTGCCAATATTGCTAGAAAAAATACCATGTTTAATTAGGAACAGAAGGTTCATGGATAACGGCGCGTCTGCTCACTTTAGTGTTTAATGGGTAGGTCACAGCGGATTTAAATAATTTGGACTTTTTCTTATGGGGACATCTTAAACGTCTGGTATATCGTATATATCTGGTATATAAGGTGGAGGACTCTTTCAACAACTTACGCGTTCTACTTTTTTTTCAAAAAGGTTTTTATTAATTTGTTTATTTGTTAAAAATTATTAATACACTAAAACTGGAAAACTAAAAAGAACGGTCTTTAATTTTTTTTCTGAAAGACAAGGTAATCAAAAACTAGATATTTTGTTGTAGATAGATATTTCATTTTTCACAAAAAAAAAGTTCTTGATTTAACCAGTGCAGTGGCGGCCTAGTTAAACCAAATATCATTTGTTCATAGACAGTCAGTGGCACGCCACTGATTTCTTAAAAAAAAATGGTTGGAGATTGTAAGAATAATTTTTATTTTAAGGGAAATGTGTGCCAGAATAGACGGGTGAAATTACGTACGCCCGCCACTGATGTATTACATACGTAGTACATGTGTGCCAAATTTTAATTTAATTAAATTAAAATATCTAAAATGATATCAGACATAATACAAAAATATATTTTGTTTTTAAAAACTTTAGCACCCTGCATCACAAAAGTTAAGACGTTTAGAACATATATTCATATGAAGTTTTCTTTTCAAAATGTATTGTATTTACGTTCAATTAGAAAACACCCTTTATATTTCCTATGCCATATACGGAGCGCGGTTCATACGCAAATCATTAAAGAAAAAGGCAAAAAAACAAAGCGTACAGTGGAATAGGTGAAGAATGTATATGCAGTATGTCCCAGATTTGCTTTTCTATACGGGGATCTCCGTTGCTATCATAGTTACAGCAAAAATTAAAAAACTGGCTCGCATTTTACTCTGTACCTGCTTATATACAGAGTCTTAAGTATTATATATTAGATAGTCTAAAAAATGCAGCGTTGCTAAAATGGAAGAAAAGTAGAGCATGTATATGCCAAAAAATAATCTACCTTTGTTTTATTTTAAATCCATACCCTTACGTAGGTACACGGTGAAAGAGGGAAATGTCCATTTTTGAAACAATAGAATTGCCTTATTATAAGAGCTGAAATGTTCAAATTTTCAGGATATGGGTAAAAGGATACGGCGATGCTAAAAATAGCGTCAAAAAACGCAAGTCTTCTATGTTGCGTACGGCCGAAGTTAACTTTTGTTTTTGTTATGGACGCCATATTGAATTGAAGTTAATAAATTGTGAGTTTTTAAAATTATTTACTTTTCAAATTGTCATAACTATGATTTGTTAGTTTGAAGTACAAACTTGTCACCCACTGGAGCTATATATATATATATATATATATATATATATATATATATATATATATATATATACTATATAAAAAGCAAATTGGTAAATTCGAAAACACTTCGAACACTCAGTGTTCGAGCGCGAGCATTGAAGATGCCAAGTGAGATTTTGGCGAAACGTCTGCAGGATTCCAGTCGGATGCAGGATTTGCAGGATTCCAGTCGGATGCAGGATTCCAGTCGGAGTTCAACGAGCGAACGGATGATATCCCGGAGTATAGTGTCATCACATTTTTCCATCCGTGAATCAATACGTGAGAATATATATATATATATATATATATATATATATATATATATATATATATATATATATATATATATATATATATATATATATATATATATATATATATATATATATATATATATATATATATATATATATATATATATATATATATATATATATTCTCACGTATTGATTCACGGATGGAAAAATGTGATGACACTATATTCCGGGATATCATC